AAAAAGAAAGACGTAGGAGAAGATTTTGTTTTAAACATATTGCAGTTAGATCACACTTTGAACCAAGCAATCGCCTCCTCCCTGAAACAAGTCAGCTAGGGCAGAAGTGATATACTAGTGGTCCTTTATTACAGAGCATGTAGGAGGCACAGGGTAGTGGAGAATGTTTCTGTTTCTGTGTTACTAGTAACTATTCATATTTTTGGATGACTGGAAAATTATTGGGATGGCAACATAATGCTGATTAATAGAGTAGGGAAGTGATTGAATTGACTTTTAAATCATGGTTTGTTAGCCTTTATTTAATTTTAACAGCTAATAAAATGGCAAGCAGAAAATAACTTGATATCTCTACCTCTTCAGACTAGGTCCAACCACATCCCTCCAGACTCTACAATAACTGACCAAAGCATCAAAGTTTAGAATGTCTCTTAATCTAATTTGTTAAAAGAAACAAACAAACAAATAAAAAAATCGGAGCCTTCCCCCCCACCATAACTCAGGAAAATTGCCTCTTTTTGATTGTATATGACCTTTCTCAGTGCCTAATTTTGTTTTAACACTTCTCAAATTTAACAACATAGCACCTCACTTCAATAAACAGAGATTTCAATTATACAAATGATAATTCTGCAACCAACCAATTCATAAAGGCATAACATTAATCTTCGGATGGACTCTGGAATCATTAACAGTGGCATACTTTTAATTACTATCCTGTATTAATCCAAACATTGTTAAATCTCCCTAGACCAAATCACCTAAACTAAGATTTTTAGACATAAGTAAGGAAGATTATTTCATGAAAAAATACAATAGGAACAACTCTGAAATGAAAGTGACATATGATAATCTCCCAACATTGCATACACCACCTGCTTTTATCTGAATTATTGTTGTTGTGATGTTTGCATAAAAATGTATGAATATAAATGTATTTATATTCCAATTAAATATAATTGTTAGAAGAAAGTGTATTCTCTAAGGTTAGATACTGAAATGTGTGTGTCAGAATCAAAAGAAGAATATCACATGGATTGACAGGAGTGGCACAGAGTGGGAGTAGGATCTGGTCCCCAACTAGACCTTAATCCACTACAGCCTGGATATTTCTCCATTTGCCTGGTAGCTGACTGGCTAAGACAGTGATTTCAATGAAAATGAGTTAGCTGAGATTTACCTGGAAGTGCTGTAGGTTAGTTGTGGGTAGAGGGTACAATCTATAAAATATGCTGCAGGGTGGATCTACATTATTATGCAGGAAGGTTTGTTCAATTTAGATGCATTTGTGGATTAAAAATTCAGTGAATCTTGTGGGTGGGAAGATGGAGAAGGCAGAAGAGAATAGTCAAAATGTGCCTATGCTGATGGTTAAGAAAACCTTTTACAGTTTCCAAGGGGACAATTCCAGAGACCTTTAGGATCATAGAAAGTAGGTATGGGAGATCTCATGTAGGCATCTAGTCCAGTCCCCTGTTCAAGGCAGGATGATCCCTGACAAAACCATCCCAGCCAAGTGTCGTGTGTGTGTGTGTGTGTGTGTGTGTGTGTGTGCGTGTGCGTGTGCGTGACCTTCTGCAATGCTTAACCAACCTCATAGTTAGAATGGTTGGGGTTTTTTTTATGTTCTGAGGTACCAAAGTCATATTTCCAAAGATTTTAATGGTGCACACAACAGTCCTATGTGTTTTTCATGTTTCTTATTTCTTCTCTGAGCTTTACTAATTCAATGCTAGTCCCTTAAAAGAGATCTGTATACAGGGATATCTGCAAGGGAAGCCACAACACAAATTGGTTAAAAAATAGATTGATTATGATGGTAGACTACAGAACATTCCTATAAACTGCTATCTAGAGGGCTGTGGCCAAGCCCTGAGTATCTGGTGTACTGAAGACATTTCAAAACACTTGAGTCGTGCCAAGCCCCTGGACAAGTAGCTAACACATGCAGTAGATTATGGCATCAGTTGTGTCACTGCCTGCCTGCATCTCAGCGCTGTGTGTGGACATTTACTTCTGAAATATTCCCTTACCCTCAGCCAGAACAAAACTGATAACACGAGCAATGTTACTCTCAGTGAATCAGACAGGCTAGTGATTCCATACAAGTCAATGCTCAAAGCCTATAAAGGCAGTCAAAGGGTAGATATATCAGACCAGCATCTACTAGGAGTTTGTAGACAACACTCTCGTCAGACATCAGGTTTGTCAGAAAGACATTAGGGGCTTTCATATCTAATTCAGAGGGAAGAGTTTGAATACCATTGTCATGTGTGGTCCATAGGCCAGGAGATAAATTGAGTACTGCACACAAGGCCCCAACCCAGAGCTGTACTCCATGAGGTAAGTGGAAGGTTTGAACTGAAAATCAAAGTAAGCCAGTGGCTTTTAGATAGCAACTAAACTTTTATTCTGTGTGTGTCCATCATATTAGCACTGCTGTCATAGGAAGATCTGCTGCTTTTATAACCACCATTGTCTCTTGCAGTTTGTTGACCTCCCCTCAATCTCCTCTTTTCTCCTAGTCCCCATTATGTCTCTTCTCCTTTTTCTTAGCCTTTTCTTCCCTGCACTAATTTCCAGTCAACCCCCACATGTCAGCTCTATGGTACTCTTTTCTTTTAAAGGGTTGAATGGCACTGTAGTGGTATAAGGTTTATGTTGGCTTTCTACTTCAGGGAGAACTCTGTTCTGGATGCTCAGCTTTCCTGCTTTCTCGTTTCAGGTCATGCTGTTTGTTATATCTGTAGCCTCACAACAAGTTCTGTTCTTGCACCTCCAACAGTGGCATCCCTAAGTGCTTCACAGGAACTCAAAAAAATACAAAGATCCACCCGAGCCCAGTTGTTCCTCCTCCATGGGCTAGCAAGAATAAAGCAGGCCAGTTTCTACTGCCAACAGCACACACAACCTTTAACTCCCCAGCATGAATGACCATTTACACCTGGATTGATTAAGCCTTTGGCATGAGTCCGGAGCAAGGCTCAAACTCATGTTTCTAGCATCACAGGGACAGCCTGTAACTATTCTGCTAAAGAGCCCTTAAACAGTAGGTACCTACCATAATAAAATCCATGCCACACCTACAGCAGAAGGACTGGGGGAGCACATTCAATACTGTCACTGATGCAGCATGAAAACTAAGCAGTGATAAAACATGTAGACTGGCTATCCTCAAAGCTGCTCTCCAAAGCGAGCACCCTGCTGCATCCATTTCACAGATACGAAGCTGAAGCCCAGAAAAGTTGTGATTGGAACTTGCTCCCAGGCTTATCTCAGTCCAACATTAACCACTCTAGAGTCTCCTTCCCCCACTTCCAATATGGATCTCCAAGCGAAGACAGCCTGATCCCTCCTAAAAATGATTGCAGCCTCTGACCTGAGAGCCTCTCTCAGCATCACCATTAATATCATAGAAAAATAGGACAAAAGAGCAAGATGGGGACATGAGCTGAGAGCCATAGCACTTAAAAAGCATCAGAACACTAAAAAGAAACAAGAAAGGGTTGTAGCCCTTGCTGAGAAAGAAAGCAGTTAAGGTCTGTGGGAGTAGAACCACACTTTACCTAACCTGAGAATAAGCTGGAGCAAGAGACTTTGGGGCTGCTTCCTCACAGAAATACCAGCCCCAACCAGAGGGACAACCCTTGCACCACAGTGACCCTACTTGCAGAGATGACTTTGTTTTAGAAACCAGACAATGATTCCTCCCTCTACAATCCTTGCCTGTGCAAAATCCATGGAACACCCACGTCTTTCCCAAACTTGTAAAGGTGTCAAGACTCTAAGCAAAACTCCCACCACCCAAGTACAGCCAGATCTGCACAACATACTATCTTGATCTTTTCCAGATTCAAGTCACAAATCTTTGTCTACTTACAGGCCAAACAGAAGGCAGAATTTCACCTTAGCCTGGGAGTACTGAAGTCATGTGAGCGAATGAAGACACATCATCAACTAGTTACTTTCAGGGATTCTATTGCATTAGAGTTTAGTAGATGGTCCCCTGTTGTTTTAAAAAGACACAAAACTAAATCCTCTTAAACTGTTACCCACTGATGTAAAGGTGTCTTCCCTTTCTATGTATGGACCTACTTATTCTGTCACAGTATTATGCTTAGCTACTGTCCAATGAAAGAGGCCCTCTGGTCAGTTGTATCCTATGGCATTACATTATAAAAGAAGGCTTATGAAAGGAATTTGAGACCAAGAGGTCATTTTGTCTACAGTTGTTACATTTCTGCTTCATGGAGCTCTCTTCCCCTTTTAGAAAAGGAAAGAGAAAGATCAGAGATGCCTCTACCTCCTCCCCACTAATGGAAAATTTTGCCCTGTCATCCATTTGTGGCTGTCAATGATTTGGACAAAAGACTGGCCTAAAGCAACAGCTGATCTGCTGCTCTAGTAACAAAAGCAGAGCAACTGATGGAAATGACCCCATCTTGCGCTCCTCTGCTTAGCTCTTTATCATTTCACAATGGACCCTTCCCACCAATAGTGGAAAATGAACAACGTGGGGTAAAATTAGAACAGACAGGAGAAACAGAAAATCCTGAAAGAAAAATAGTATATTTTGCCACTTGCCAATGTTTCCAAAGAATGGAAAGATGATTTAAACTGGCCTGAACATACATTAAAATATAAAACCAGAGGGTTCTATAATGATTTGCCAAATGTTCAAATAGATATAGACCCACTCTAGACTGTGCAATATAAAAAAAAAACCCTCTCTCTATTTTCCTCAGCCTCAGCATCCAGTTCTTCTGCAGAACACTTCCTCCTCTCACAACGGAGTCCCAGAAAACATCTCAGCACAGACCTACTGTGAACCTGTGGACAGCACATAGTAATAGATCTGTTACAGAGGATGGCTGGATTCTTCATGATATTGAACCCCTGGTTATTGTTGGTCTTGAACCATCTCATGTAGCTTATGAACATAAATCATGTCTTCACATTTATGAAGGTACTATATTATTAGAAATATTAGCTTACCTTACCCTACAGGCTGGCCTCAAGCTCCAGAGCTGTTCTGCGGAGAGTGTGGTGTCACCAGAATAGGGCATGCTGGGGTGTTTCACTGAACAGGAACCAGCAATCCACAGCACAACTGGATAGCGTGGACCTGAAAAATAAGCCAAGGGAAATGTTTTAGCACACAGGTGTGCAGACAGGAAAGATGGTCAAGTGACTGGGGCTCTAATCTGGGATTTAGCAGTTTCAGTTCCCTGTTCTTTCACAGCCTTCTTGTGTGCCTCAGCTCTCCCTCTGTAAAACTGTAATAAGAGTACTGCCCTGTCACAAGAGGTGCTCTGAGATCAAAATGATTGTGAAGTGCTCAGAAATTATAGCTGTGGGTGCCAAGTCAGTAGCACAAACAGAATGTTCTTTTGATGCAGATCACTTGAGGAAACATTAAAAAAAAACAAAAACTTAACACTAAAAAAGAATCATTTGCGGGCACCCCAGATCAAGGCAGAAATACAGAGCTCCAATTAGAGTATGTTTGATGTGTATATTGAGTTATGTGAGGAGGAAGTTTGGACCACAGTAAAAAAGCTGGACCTCAGATGTCTTCTCTCAGATTTGGTGTGAGATGATATGCCAACACTGCCCTCTGTTTTGACCACCAAAGATTAAGATATACAGAGAACTAGAACTAACCCCTGGGAGGCACTGGAAGGATGGAGCATGACATTATACATAGTCAGCCATGTGAAAGGTGGAAATTTTCTGTTTCCCTTTAAGTTCAAAATGAAGAAGTAATATAGTATGAAGAGGTGTATTTAATAAAGAGAAAATACCACATAAATACAGCGTGGCTCAGATAATAGTGCTACCAAGGGAATTGGCTTCTACATTGCCTGAACTTTTGAGGTGAAAATTGTGAAACTTGAATGCTTCTTTATTGTATTATTTTACATTTCATTTCTATTCTTTTTAAATAAAGAAATTAAAAGAAAAGTGATTGATCCCATGTGCAGGGAGAGGCAATTTTGACACAGGCTGTAGGTCTGCCTCTATGAATATTCCTCTTAACACACAGGGGGTGATGGGTGGCAGAGTTTACAAGAACTCTGTTTGTGCCTCCATGAAGTCAGATGAGTGTGTTGGTCTGGATTTCAGAGCTATAAAACTGTGTGCATTTCATCCTCCCCTACAGCAGTGAAACCCAACAATGATGGTCTTCATGAATAACCTATTCCCCTCTTTAACTTGCCAGCAAGAATTCGCTTTCAGACTAAAGGAAAGTATAAACTCGTCTCCCCGGTCTTCAAGGTGCTTCTACTCAAGCATGAGCATTGATGCATTGACACATTTTAATGTTTACCTATTATAGCCATTTTGTCCAAAGCAGGCTTATCAAATGCTGAGTGTCCCTATGATTAAATGCAATAACATTTGTGGAAGAGGCTTCCCTTGCAAGGCAACTTCCCTGTTTTAGAAGACTGCTTCAAGTTACCTCCAAACATTCTGCACAGTATTCTGCTCTCTCTTTTATTGAGTCACTACTGTTAAAGCACCTTAGGTGAAATCCTATCTCCACTGAAGTCAATGGGGACTTTGCCATCAACTTCAGTGGGGTCTACATTACCCCTTGGTTCTTGGATTTCTTGACTGGTTGCTTGATGAAACAGGGTTCACTGTTATACCACTTTCAGGGCTCAAACCTGATATTTAACGGCTGTTTTATAAAGTCAATTACTCTGCTTACAAATATACAGCCACATGCAGATCTTGAGAAAGACTTGGCAAGATATGCCTACATATCAGGGGTGCTCAGCCCCCAGCTCATGGGTCAGATCCAGTCTGCAGCCTGGTGTCATCTAGCCTGTGGGGCTCCCTACTGGTCTGGAAATTTGATGGCAAGAGAGTGATGACACTGCTCCTCCACTGCCAAACTTCCAGACCCAGGGAACCCTGGGCCCTGCATGCTGGATTGGCTTCCTGATCCCAGAATGCAGGGCTGAGCAGAGGTAGCCCAATTCCTGTTTAGGAGGCTGAGAGAGAGTGATACCAGATCCCCAGGACCCAATCCCAGTGGGAGGGGGGTTGTGCCAGGCCCCTAGAACCAATCCCAGCACATGGGGGTGGTGCTACATCCAAACCTGGCACATTAGGCTCAATTCAGCCTGCAGACTTTCCCCCTCCTACTCATCTGGCCCATGGAGCCAAAAGGTTGAGCACCACTGCTATACATCATGGAGGAAAAAAAATCTGACATCACTTTCATTTACTTACTGCACACAATAAAATGAAATGTTTTTAGCTGTATATTAGATTACTTCTTACCAACTGGTTATTTTACATATGAGTATTTTGGGTAGCTCTATAGTCAATATTATTTATGACTTTCTAAGTTATACAATTCTCCCTTTGCAGCTTTTGTCAATATGTCAACAAAATCAGTAACAATGCAGTTTTCTATGCAGTGGTTTTCAACATTTTTTCACTTGTGGACCCCTAAAAAGTTTTGAATGAAGGTGTGAAACCCTTTGCATTGTAAGTATGGGTAATTCACATACTTTTGATTGATCGTAGTCATCGTTCACAGACCCATTAGACATAGTCTGCGGACCCCCAGGGTTCCACAACCACAGGTTGAAGACAGCTGTTCTATAGTATAGATTGGAAAGCCTACTTTTTTTGTTTGTTTGTTTTGCAGTTTACAATAAATTTCTATCAACTCTGCCCACATATCTGCTGACAATTAAAACAATAGAGCAAGATGCTCTATTGTTGTGGAGTTGGCTATTGGCAGGACGTTATAATGCATTAAGAACTACTAAGTAGTTCTACTAGGGATTAAAGTAGAACTACTAGGGATCCTACCGTTGCTTTTTCTTCATAAAACCTTCTGTCAAGGGTGGTAGAGGGGTATGCAAATTAAGGTCTGTTTTGTGCAGAAATATCATTAAGACAGAAACAATCAAGCACATTGTAGTTACATTGATGTTGGTGCGGGGTCTTTTTATTGTTTTATATTTCTTCTGTTCTTTCAGTAAATTAACTGGGGCATGCACTGCCCATCAATAAAATCAATACAGTAGCCTGGGTGGTTAATAAGCGAATCCTATGGGGTGCGGATAGAGAGTGGGAGGGGGGGAGCAGGGGGGAAAAAAAAAAATCACTGTTACACAACATATGTGGCTTAAGGAAAAGGGTAAATGCTACAGTCCATGTCTATTCAATCCTATTGGCTTAACTTAGTACTTGGAGCAGAAACAGATGTCACTAAATGAAGCAGATCAGCTGTGCTGAGATGTGTTCCAGCACAGCTGATTTGCCTCACTGGGGGAAATACACATTGGCCACTGTCCCACCTGTTGCTTTTGCAGGACAATGGGCAATGTGTTCCCCAGTCAGAGATGCACCCCAGGACCACGTGGAAGTAAGTTTGACACTTCAATGTGATCCTAGCAGTGGGACCACCAACCAGCTGATTCCAGCACAGCCCTGGAGCTGAGACTGTCAATGCCAATAGGTGCTCGAAGAATCCCAAATGAGGGAACCCAGGAAGGCACTCCTAGGGCTTCAGGGGCCCAATTCACCATCCTGGGCCATGCAGGATCAGGCCCTTGAAGCCCTAAGAGTGCCCTAGGCATCTTGAGAGAGTGGGCAGCTCCAGGCTGACCACTCTCCTGCCATAAACCTAACATGTCTACCACAATAAAGCAACACAAATTTATACTACCTACACTGTAGCCAGAAATTTGGGGCCTTTGTGGTGCAACAAGAGGTACTGACATATCTTTGCTTGGCCTTTGTGTGGCCATAATTTTTTTTATGGCAGTGTAAAGGTGACATCTGTTTCCACCCTTGGCACTTCTGATACTCAACAGGCTATGGCAATTTGTGTATAAGAAATTAAGACCCTTCCATTTCCTATGAATCAATAGTTGTATGGAACTGCTGTTAAATCCAAAGCTCACCACAGAATTTGGCTTTTTACTGATTTTTCTCCCATTTAGCACCAAACTCACCAGAGGATTAGGTATAACTTCTGTGTAGCATCAGATCACAGAAGACAAATGCAGTCAGAAGATTCAAAAGTTAGTACAAAGGCAACTGATAGGGACCTAGAAGAGAAGAGAACACATGTCTGTTACAAAATCCTTTATGAACAGAATTCATAGCTGCATTAAACATAAAGGTCTGACAATCAGTTAAATGTTGGCCCAGCCCTGGGACAGCCCAGCTCCATATGTGGCTTTTAGAAGTCCCAGGTCTCCAGACCCAGCCAAGACAGCCACAGGTTCTGGAACATGCTGTGGGCTGGGGGAAGCCCTGGGTTCAGGATAGACCTGGCCTCTGCCCAACCTGCAGGATCAGCCTGGAGACAGCATAGCTATGGTGTGCTTGGGACTAGAGGAATTTTATGCCTCATCCTAAACATCATGCTTCCTGCCACATGCAAGTCTTCTTGTAAACATGTAGTATCAAGTCATGTCCAGTGTCTCACCTCCTCCATCTCTCCAAAGCAGCTGGTGAGAGAACCTCTTTTATAACTTCCAAAACACTACAGTTAAACAAAGTCTCCTCCCAAATGCTTCATTGCTTACTTAATTTCCCCTCACTGCACAGTTCTAACAAGCACCACTGTGTGACTTACCATCACAATGTACAAACTGGGCAATCTTGAGTAGGGGTAGAAAGAAGATTTTTACCTTTCTATATGGCATTAGTGACTACAGTAGGATAATTCTGTGCACGGTTCTGATGCCTACGTTTTAAAAGGGGACACTGAAAAACTAGAGAAGGTACAGAAAATGTCCATTAAAATGTCAATAAAAATATTCAAAGGCTGGAGAAAATCTTTCAAAGTGAGAAAATAAAGAGTTGAAACTGTAACCATTTCATCAATCTGGGAAGGGAAATGGTGGATTCTCCATTGTTTGATTTCCTCACATTAAGAGTGGATGGCTTTCTGGAAGACAGACTTTAGCCAAAGAAAAATCAGTGAGCTCAATATGGCAATCATCAAATATGATTGCTTAACTGCAGAAAGGACCAGTAGATGATCTACTAGTCCAAATGTTCTAATAGCCCTTTCTGCATTTAAGCAAACAATCATGTTTTATAATTTTTTTCATGAATGTTACCACACACTATCCTAAAACCGGTCTGATTTTTTGCCCCCGTCCCATCTCCTATTGAAAAGCTGTTCCAAAACCACACAATTTGGATAGTTAGAAATTTTCTTCTATTTCCCAATTTAAATTTATTCATGGCCAGTTTATACCACTTCCCCTTCTGCCAACATTGTCCTTTAGCTTTTACAGCTAACCTCTCTCTCTGGCACGTAGCCCCCTGATATATTCATAGATATCCATCATGTCCCCTGTCAGCCTTTGTTTTGTTAGACTAGATCTTCTAGTCTCCTCTCCTAAACTAATCCTTCTCTGCACACCTGTTTCAATTTCCTTGAATTCACATTCCTTGAATACAAGCATCCAGAGCTGTACACTGTATTTCTGATGAGGACTTAGAAGTGCCAAAACTGACCAGCAATAAAATCTGATTTTGTGAGAAGCATGTTTTCATTATGGTAAGGCCATTAGTAGCAATTATTATGGAACATGGAATAAATGTGAATACTGGAGCAAGTGTAATGAATCCACAATACCATAAAGAAGTCAGCATCCAAGAAATCTAAGCTGCATATATATTTGTCAGTAGTTATTATTTTATTAGTTTTGTTCCTTGTATGCATTAATATTTCCAACAGCTAATGTCCATCTGTGCCAAAAGATGTACAAATTAAAATTGAATATGTATGTGTGTTAAATAGTAAAAATGCACAATACAGTATTTGTATTAAATTAGTTGCGTCATACATATAGATTAATAGCAAGATGCCCATGCAGCATGCAACTATTTATTTAAATACTATGTAGGCTATCCTTGAATTACTTTTTGTCGGAATAAATGTTTATTTTTTTAAAATATTGGAAGTTCACAGGAAAAATTATACTTGCCTGTAAGTCTGAGTTCTTGAATTCAACATAAAAATTCTTAAACTTTGGGACATATATAGTTAAGAAAAATTTTAATAGCTTACTTGTAATCCAACATTATCATACTTTCTAGCAGTTCTGTTCTCATGTATATTATAATGCTCCTTTTAAATTAGACTGAGTTGTGATATACTGCAAACTCTTAACTGTGAATATACAGCAAGAAACCAGTGTATTTTAAATAGTTACATAAATAAAAGCCACAAGTTTTGGCACAGGCATTTTGAAAAATGGAGGTAGTTGAAAGCTGGGAACTATTTCATTTATATCTATCTACATTCCACTATTTTTACTGCATCCTCACAACTGAAGCTGGCAATGTATTCCAAAGAGAGGTAATTAGCCATGTTAGTCTGCAGCCAGGCAGAAGGCATGGTAGACATGCACTTTGTAGGTTAACTGTATCAGAGATGTATAGCATAAGGTTTTGTGAGCCCAAGCTCACTTTATCAAATGTTGTGAATGGACAGCATCCTTTTCCTTTAACAGCATCCGATGAAGTGAGCTTGAGCTCGTGAAAGATTACATGATACATCCCTGATTTCATTAGTTTAAGGTGCATATTTACCCTGCCAAGGTCCTGCAACTCATTTAGTCTCATTAAACGGAGCATCATATAATTAATAAGCAGGTTTTCATAGATTGTGATGCTGGAAGGGACCTTAGAAGGTCATCGTGTTCAGCCCCCCTGCACCAAGCAGGAAAGAAACTGGGTTCAGGTGACCCCAGCAAGGTGACCGTCCAGTCTCCTGTTGTAGGCAATTGCACCACCCCTGGAGGGAGCTTATTCCACAGTCTGGACACCCTATCTGTGAAGACATTTTTCCTAATGTTGAGCCTGAAACAGTCATCTAGGAGCCTGTGACCATTACTCCTGGTTTTCGTCAAGGGTGCCCTGGTGAACAGTTGTTCATCGAGCCCTTGATGTACACCCCTGATGTAGCAATAAGCTGTTATCAAGTCCCCTCTCAGCCTTCTCTTTTTCAGAAGAGTCCCAGGTCCCTCAGCCTTTCCTTATATGGCTTGCCGTGCAAGTCTCTGATCACAGGTGGCTCTTCTCTGGACTCTCTCGAGCTTTACTATGTCCTTGTTAAAGTGCGGTGCCCAGAACTGGATGCAGTACTCCAGCTGTGGTCTCACCAAGGCCAAGTAGAGTGGGAGAATCACTTCCTTGGTTTTGCTGGAATCACTTCCTTGGTTTTGCTGGAAATGCATGCCAGAGTATTATTTGCCCTGTTGGCTACAGCATCACACCATCGATACAGACGATACAGATCCATTCATTAGGACTCTGTGGGTTCTACCAGAGAGGTGGAAAGGAAAAGTCTCAGATGACTGACTGTTCCTGTGACAACTTAACTAACATCACTGTGTCACTGTCATTGACCAGTAATGTTTGTGTACCCCATTCATCATTCTAACTTTGTTGTAAACAAAAACGTCACAATGTATATGGTCTATATTTCAACAAAGACTCAAAGACATTTTGTGGAACAGAACAAAAGCACTCCTGCAAACAGAGGTAATTACCCTGCCTGTAACAGGATGGCACCCAAGGGCTGTCGTGATGTCCTCTAGTGGCCACCTTGACCCTGCCTGGCTCCCACTCCAACTCCTCAAGGTCTCACCCTGCTTCCTCATCTGCCACGCCTTGGTATTAAAAGGTAATGAGAGGAGGCTGTCCTCAGAGGCTGACAAGCCCAGGGTGTGCTCTCTCTTTCACTGTACTGTGTCCCTCTTGTGGGCCATACTTGACCCATCTCAATTTTGCATTCCACCTCTCCCCATTTGACCCAGTCTCTTGGCTTTGGGGGCTTCCAACCCCTCTGCCCCCAAAATTGCCTTAAGAGCTAAGTTTGTAGCCTTCTGCCTCTACAGCTACACCCATGCCTCAGAGATGTTACTCTGTCCACAGTTTAGTTCTCTTGTAGAGACCTCAACCCTCTTGGCTTTAGCCCCCCTCTTCTCTGTCTACAGGTTTCCAGTCCTGGCCCACTGACTCAGGCGCAGCTCTCTTGGCATCAGCCTTCTCTGCATCATCTCTCGTCTCCAGGCCCCTTGGCCTCTTGCATCTTGTCTCAGCCTCCCTGGCATCCTGAGGGCAAGGCTGCTCTTGGTTCAGCCCAACCCTCCCCATTGTCCCCATGTCCCCCCCTCCTCCCCCCCAGGCATCCTGACCCAGGGCAAAGCTGCTCTCAGTTCTTCCTCCTTCTAAAGTATTTGGGCTTCTGCACCATGCAGCCCACTGTGTCCCAGACCCTGGAAGGGCTCTATGCTGGGTGCCCTTACAGCACTATCATGGCCTCCAAATCAACCACACCCCATCCTTCGGTATAAACTAAAACAAAAAAAATACAAGCACCTGCTTCAAACTCAAAATCTTCCCCTCCAAGTCATCATATTGCTGCCCAGCCACCTCACCACTCTCTGGCTCTCTCAGTCCTAGGAGTACCTGGCATGCCACCAATTCTCACTCCTCACCAGCCTGAGCTGGCAGGAGTTCAGGGCTGTACTGCCAGTCTGCTTCAGGGGCCCAGGTTTATATCTCCCTGGCTCCTCTCCTTCTGGTTAGATGCTCGCCTGACCAGCTGCAGGTGTGCCCCCCTCAGTCTCTGGGGTAGCTTACTGCTATTCCTCTGGCTACTGCAGCAGTGGCATCACTGCTTAACCAGGGCACTGCCCTATTGGCCTATTGCTAGGCAGCTAGCCCCAAAATAGACACTTATAGTCTACAGGCCCTGGCTGCCTATTCCCCTGCAGCTAGCCCAAAATCAGCGGTCTTACCCCCAGCTGGGGACATCCCCGCTGCGGCTTCCCTCTGCAAGTAACAGGAGCCCCTGGTTTCCTGTTACACAGACAAATACCAAAGAATTGCTGCAGACAATGACAATATTAAGTGTCCATCATAGAAAAAGGAATTTTCTAAAATCAGAGTATCACAGATATAGTACATGGGCCGGACCTGGCCTGTGAAGCCCTATTATTTGACCAGCAGCACTGCTGGTGGGTCTCAGACTGGCCTCATGCACTACATACAGCACATGCTGGACCTGGTCCAACAC